TTAGGGGACCCAAAAAGGGACCATGATTTTGACAATCCCCCAAGTGCCCAGGCAACAGAAGTCCTCCAAGCTTTCTCTGTCTTTCCTTCATTGGGAGGGCTGTCTCTTTCGTCCGTGTCAACAAATGCTGCACCCATGCTTGGGCAAATTGAGTTTGGCCCAGCTGACAGGGCTTTGGCATCACCGCGAGGAACAAGGATCAAGAAGGCATTTCCGTTCACGGCTGCATGCTGTCAGCAATGACGGCTTGGCCATTGGCCGAGCAAGAAGTTGCAGGAGGATCACCATGTTCATAGACTTCGCGATTTTGGGTCCAGGGAAAAACACGATCTCCAAAGGCCAGGTAAAATGCTTGCACGACGGACAATCAGATCGTTGTGTGTAGTCTAGATCATGTCGTCTGCGCAGGCTTCAAGAGGCAGGAGCCAGTTCACTGCACGACGCCAAGCTGAAAGACTCCATGCAAGGATGCTACGACCTATAGTCCCGCTTAAGTAGATAGAATATGGCTTTGGGTACATTAGAATAAGATCCCCATATACCCCATACTCTATGTACTTAAGGGGGACTATATGCCTGAAACTACCCCGCCCCTTGCAGCTCGACGTTCGCATGCCCTAGGACTTGGAAACCCTTCTCATAAGCTCACTTTCTTTTGGTCTCGAATACGTCAGGCTCTGTTGTAGAGTACTGGCAGGTTCTGAGAGCCAACTTTGGGCCACACCGGACAATCATTTGAGGGAAGGCCTTGATCCAGCCTTTCTGCGTAATGAGTCACGCTTTCTTCTTGTTGACCATCTTGCCGCCCGATCCGCCACTGCATATGTCGAATATGCACTTGACCTGACGTGACAGGTCACCATTACCCCTGTGTAACCCTACATACCCCTATACCCTAACCCTCCCATTTTCCTCTAAATCCCCTGACATTCCTGACGTGACATGTATGCATGCAGGATGAAATCCCCAGGACAAACCACAGGGCTCCCGACCGCATTCAAGGCTTTGGCATACAACTGTAATCCCCCAGGCCTAGTATCAAAATCATATGTTCAAGAAGTTCTTGGGTTTAATACTATTATAAGCAGGAAACACAATTCCTACACCCTAAACCCTAAACCCCAATGCCTAAACCCTCTATACAAAAGTTCAGCGTAGCTGCGAGCCATACAAGTGTCACCACGGCAGCAGGGGCCTGAGTTGAACGGAAGCGAGATAGCCTAGCGTGTTTAGAGTTTAAGGGTCTAGAGTTTGGGATTTAAGGTTTAAGGTTTAGGATCTATGCCAATATCATCAACCCCTACATGGCAGTTTTGTCCGAAATACCGTGATGCCCTTACATTTGAAAAACAACTTAGGGTTCAGCGTCCAGCCATCTACAGGCCATCTCCTAGAACTCCACATGCCCCGGATTACAGCCCTTTAGGCTTGGCTCTTGTTTCTCAACCCTCTTGCGGGTTTAGGGATGTTGCGGGTTTAGGATTTTAATGTTTTAGTTGGTTGCTGCCTTGCCATGGCAATCTACTTGCAGTCGAAGGGCGGCTGCGATGATGAAACCTCTCCACACTCAAGCTTGACTCTTCAAACAACTAGAGCCCTAAACCCTAAACCCTAAGCCCTAAACCCTAAACCCTGAGCCCTAAACCCTAAACCCTGAACCCTGGGGCCTGAACCCTAAACCCTAGACCCTAAACCCCTAGGCTCTAAACCCTAAGCCCTAAACCCTCTACCCTAAACCCCTTTTGCAACAGGCTTTCTGAGTCCGCCTGGAATGGGCTATTCACGTTCGACCACACTGTAGTCGCGCTACTCAGCCCAGAATGAATCCACATCAAACATCCCTAAACCCCTAAACCCGAAACTCCAGTCGGGTAATAGTGCTCACAGCCTAGTTGAGCTTGGCGTTCCTTTGTCAGCCAACACGGTTAAGGATTTCGGGTTCACGGTTTAGGGGTTCAGTGGCTTAGGGGTTCAGGGGTTCAGGGGTTTGGGGTTTAGCGTGTGAATTTTTCATATCGACGACTCCTGCAGCTGAGCCTGACAGCCATGGGTCCTTGTAATCCCTAGGTATTGTAGGGGCTAAAAAGAGAGAGAGAGAGAGAGAGATAGATATATATATGTATAGGAATAATGGGAAAGAAAATAGAAACTGATTTGTTGTAATAGGGTGCATATTCAGAAATGCCAGGTTTGATGACTCAATGGCACCTGTCAGGAAACTGGCCCAAAGATCATCTCCCCGTCGCAAAGCACGCCGCCGCCTCATGCATGTGTAATCCAGGGTTTAGGGTTCAGGGTAGACTAGCGAAGCATAAAGTGCTTGAGGCCTCTGCCCACAGAAAACCGAGAGCGACAGCAAGGACGAGAGAGCTAGTGGCGGTAGACGATTTACAGCTGCAGAGCCTCCACTTTCCTCAGCCCATGCTACAAGCTCCTCAACTTGGTATGCCTGATGCATAGGGATATATGGTATATAGTAATAACGCAAAAAAATGGAACCCACTATATCATATTAGGGTATATATTGGATTTACATTGGCAGATACCATGCCACTGGTTCTCACTGGAAAGCAAACAAAGAAGTCTGGTTGCAGTCCCGAGGCATGTGCAAACCACCTGGCAGGGCAAAGTCGAATCATTTGGTGCGGTTCGCTCCCTTTGCTAACCTTCTCCCATCAAATCGTATTACGATTTCTATCACTATTGCTAAGACTATTGCTAGTATTCTATTACTTATGATCTAGTACTATTACTCTTAGTATGACTATTGCCATTGTTTACTGCTGTTATTGTGTGAATTATATTTAAGTACGTTGCCCTAAGCTCCCAGATGTTTATTGTATTCGTGCGAGGGGCACGACAATGCCCAGAAAACCAAAGCTCAGGATTCCAGCGATCAGGCCCCCAGCACCAAAGGCGATCGCGACGTGCTCCAATGTCAGTCCCATTATAGTCCCCTTAAGTGGGTTTAGAGTCTAGTCCCCCTTAAGAACATTGAGAAAGGGTGTAAGGTTTACGGCACAGTCCCCCTTACCATATCTTTTGAGATGCCATGACCGGACTGCAAACATCAGCTGCCTCTGGGTATACCTCGTGCGAAACACTTTGGATGTCATATCTCTAAGTGTCTCCACACTGCATGTCATGCTTCCAGCATCTACATAATCTGCGTCGTTCTTGATTTCCAGGACAGTTGCAGCACGAACAGGCAGACCCATGTCTTGGCACTGCGGCTTTGCGGAGAACAAAGTCAGGCCATTTTCCTCTGAGATCTGCTCAGCTACTGCATGCAACAAGCAGAAACGAAGCTTTCACGTCAGCTGCCGACCGCGAGTTGCAACATCTCCCTCAGCCATACGAAGTGCTTGCAGCTGTGGAGGCCTTGGACCTGATCAGTGCGGAGGACTTTAAAGATCTGAAGAATTGTGCTCGAAACCAGAAGCATTCCCAGCAAGAGGTCAAGGACAAGGACCCGCGCCTTCGCCCTCCACAGCCCGCCAAGCGAAAAAAAAAAAGCAGGGGGCAGCAGACGCCAGCCATGATGAGCAGGCCTGTCAACCAAGCCCCGCGAAACGTGACCCGTGATGGCTCTGGGTTGCCACAAGAGAGAATCAGATTTACGCCTGGGGAACTTCATGGCCTTATTCCTGGAAGGGGATGCTTGGCAGGTGTGTACTTGAAAGAGTGCCTGGCGGCACAAATGGGAAGCTCTATCAGGCCTTTTGCCCAGCGACGGATGAAGGCTATACTGCGGTCTGATAAGTATTCAAAAGCAATAGTGGATTGGGTAAATAATGCACCTTGCACGGGAATTATAACCTTACTTATTATCCCCTCAAATGGACTTATTATAGGGATTATCCCAGTAATACGTAGGGTTATAAGCTCAGTTATAATAAGAACCTTCAAGTAGTCTTGATTTAAGCAAGCCCTTAGTGATTACGAAGCCTGGGGCACAGGTGATCGGAGAAGCATGAGTGTCACCTGGGACGGTGCACGCAGAGCGCTGTCCGAAAAGGAAGCACTCCTTGAGGTTCTGGACTGGATGTGGAGCGCCCACTCAGAGAGGAACCCGACCCAGCCCGAGCAACAGAAGAAGCTTGGCCCCTGATTTAGATTTGAAGTCCATTGCCAGAGTAATCACAACTCTAGCGAAAGTACCACTCCAATTTATAACCCTACCATAATATCTCATTAGAGGCATTTACCTTGAACCTCCAAGTACACCCAGTCCCCTCGCTTTGACACACATCAGTACTTTATGGAAGCTACTTGTCAAATGGCTTTGGAATGTGTAGTTCGAGATTGGATACTGGGCTTTGGTAGGAAGGGTTGGAAAGCTATGACTTATCCCCAAAACTGGTCTGGTAAGACAATAATATCCACGGTTGGTGCTGATATGGGTTCAAATTGCCAAATCCATTTGGAGTTAGGCTTCACTAACTTGGGCTAAGTAACCTTGTTACAGTTTACCTACTAAGATGCACTGCAGGCACTGCTGCACTGCGAGGACACATGGGCCCCACAATTAATCAAGGGCAACGTCTAACCATTTGGGATGAAAAAACATGGACGTGCTTTGTAACATTGTAACAGGTACAGTCCTCATAATTTGCGTTACAGCGTGCAGTAAGCCAACTGGGTACCTCAACTGTTGAACTTTACCAATGGTCAAGCTGCCCGCGTGTATGTACACTAGCCCCAAGGACCCATGAATTCTGCATGTGATGCTCCTCTGACTCCCATCCCAAATCAGAAATGGCGACTTTGCTAGTTTCTTAGCCAACACCTTGTGTCTTACTGTATTACTGAGGCCCACGAAAGATGACGTCTCAAAAGTCATTTCCGGCTTTGATAGCTCCACTGGTTTCATTTCGACTCGCACAGACACGGGAAGTGCCGAAGGCACTGCTTCCGGTGCCTCTTCTTCTATGGCACCACCGCCATCTCCAGCTTCGAAGTCACGGAAGCGTTAAACGTGAACTTTTGGGGACACTGAATGATTAAATGCAAACAGGTTGCAAGACCTACTTCATCATACGTCATCTAAGCTGTGAGTTGTTTGCAGGGTTTGCTTCGGATGGCTTCCATTGCATGTTACCTCAGAGCACTCGAGGAGCCACGTGTGTGCCAAAACAAGCTGAGTTCTTTCAGGGGCCTTCATTGTCCTGCTGACAGACCCCCTAAAGCTTGCAGTCAACCCAGTGCCAATATTCAGTTCGTTTGCAGGGCACCCGTGTCCAACCAAGCGTTTGAAAGAAGCAACAGGATCACCACATCAGAGGCTGCAAGATTTGATGAAAGCACCAACTTGGAAATTATCTTCTTTTAACTTCTCTTATCTTCTTTTATCTTCCTTTCTCTTCTTTTATCTTCCTTTATCTTCCCTTAGCTTCTTTTGTCTTCCTTTAATGTCCTTTATCTGCCTTTATCTTCCTTTATCTTCTTTAATCTTCCTTTATCTTCCTTTATGAAAGCCACTGCCTTGCAGTAACTCTCTTGCAGTCTTGCATAGGGACTCTATGAGCTAGCACGAGAGTGAAGTACATCAGCAACTGAAGCAGCTCTAGCCTGAAGGGCAACCTGGGCTTTCAAGTTTCAATCCCTCTGGCGTGACGCGCCATGCGTATTTGGTTCCATCAATTTCAACTATCCCCGCCATTTCCCCTCCCTGATGCTCTTGATGCTGCCCTCGGCCCGTATTAAACCCAATGTTCTCAGAACCGACTAAGGCTTCCATCTGTACATCAGGTGCATCCACGCCACGAATTTCAGGAGGACTTTCGATGGCACGAATCCTGCTGCCAGTTACCGGCCTACCCTCTCGGGTGGCAACATTACCGTGATCACCAATCATACCTGAATCAACCTGACTGACAATGCCCTGCGATGAAGAAGATGGTGCTACCATCAACGGCGCTGGCATCAATGCCTGGGGCGGTGCCGCAACCCGATGTTCCAGCTTTGCTGTCGTCATTCTTTCAGCAGCATTCAAAGATGGAATGGCCGATACTTCCGATGATTTAGTGCTAGCACTCTCCAAACGCTCCAGTCTCTCAACTACAGGTGCCAACTGCAGTTTCATCAGCTCAGTCATCATGTTGCTCATGTCCGACAGAAAACCAGTGTGTGCCTGCATACCCATACTTGGCATTGTGCTGTAATCAGGTACCAACTCCTGATCATCAACTCTAACCCTGGCTCCACGCTCCATGTTGGAAAAATCACTCAACCCAGCTGTGCTTCTAGGACCAGGCGAGGCTTGTGCAGGATCTCTAAAGGCTGCCACAGGCGACTCCTGATGTGACACTTCATCCCTGTCCAGCTGTTCACCTGCCGAAAGTCCTGCTTCAAACCCTTCCTGTGCTGGATGTGTCATTCCAACTGTTGATGTGTTAGCCTGCTCTTGTAAAGGTTGTTGATAATCAGGTTCTTGTTGTGTGTCATCAACCTCCCTCATAACCGCAGAATCTCTAATGCCTGTGCTTTCCGCTTTTGCTCTTTGAAACTCTTGCTGCACCGCATCAGACCAGAACGGATTAGGGAGTTGAGCCATGGCTTTACCTACGGAGCCTTTCTACGTTGGGCTCGTAACCCTCGAGTAGGCCTAGGGGCTCAACACGGAGTTCACGCAGTGAGGTCTCTTTTAGCAGCACCAGGCAGACAGAACAACAAACGTCTGTAGCTTAGAAAGCTGTATTCGGATCTTAAACTGTTTTAACCAAGTTTTAGTGCTGAGACCCGACTCCCTGTAAGCTGGAGCCAAGGTACAGCCAAACACACAGTAAACAAAGACTTCAACATGTCACAGGGTTTTAGGCTTATTGGGTTAGGCTTTAAAGGTTTCAGGCCTAGGGTTTAGGGTTTTGGGGGTAAGGGTTTTTTAGGTTTTCTAGGACTAGGGTTTAGGGTTTTTGGGATTGGGGTTCAGGGCTTTTAGGGTTAGGGTTTCAGGTTTTCAGGGTTAAAGTTTAAATTTAAAGGTTTGGGGTTTAGGGTTTTAGGGTTAGGGTTTATGGTTTGTAGGGTTAGGGCTGAAGGTTTTTAGGGTTGGGGTTTAAAGTTTTTGGGGTTAGGGGTTTTAGGGTTAGGGATTCCTCGCTACTTCCTTCCTTCATCCTTGCGGCCTGCCTCCCTTCCTTCCGTCCATTCTTCCATTCTTCCTGCTTGCCTGCCTTCCTGCCTTCCTGGCTTCCTGGCTTCTTGCCTTCTTGGCTTCCTTCCTTCTTTCCTTCCTTCCTTCCTTCCTTCCGTTCCTTCC